CAAGATACCTGAACACAACTTCCGATTCGCTCATATTCTGCTGCGGTGCGTCAAAACCGGGAACCTTCCAACATGCCAAAGGTGTTTTTGATTTAGATGTCAAGTTGATAAGCGGCTTATCTTTGGGTACACAATTTTTGATAATGCATGATATCACCTACAATATGATTTCTACATTATTGTTATGGAGAATGGATCAACTGTGATTGCCCACTTGTTTCCCGCTCCATAACTGACGCGGTTTGATCATGGCTGGAGGCGGTATATCAATGCGCTTCGTTCGATAAGCAAACGCAGCCAAGATGAGGTGCATAAAGTCTTCCTGAGACTCAATTACATCAATAATAAAGGACACAAAAGTAACGATTGCCTTACTTTGGACAGAAATCTACCCCTTATCGTCAAAAGAACACCTGAGACAACGTGATCTTGTATCAAGCCAAGAAGCGGTGTCGCATCTTTCGGAACCAAAAAGTTACTTCCAACATTAGCTGAAATGATCATTTTCAAAAAGTTAGCAACTACCTAGTCGTAACTGACCCAGCTCTGCCACTTCGCATTGCGCAATATGGCTTTGAACAAGATGACCATTCATTTCATCTCCATCAAAATCTGCATTATAAGCTTTGCATGGAGCGTAGTTCATTCGAAGTGCTCGTTGACCAGTTATTATACGCGCCCTGCAAACAAAGAAATGATAAAATAGACTATGCATAATAGGAAACATGGAGGAAGAGCCAGCTGAAAGAGACAAAGAAGAAGCAACTGTTAAGGAAGACATTTTCAAAGCGATTAAAAGTAAAAAAAAAAATGTTTGAAGTTAAAACTGTGAAAACATGTTAATAACCTGTGTCCTTGTATGGAAGGTTTATGCAATGATGGTTGTCGATTCATCATCATCATATCCCCGTTTCGCAAGTGTCGCAAAATCTGTAAGGAAATAAAACCATCAAGAAAATTAGCTCCAGTAATTCTTGTACTAGTTATGGAAATGAGACGGAAATTTCTTGAATCTAAA